CATACAATATGACATATTAAAAAACCGATAACCTGACCAATCTTCGATATAATCACGACGGTTTTCGAGAATCAGACGCTAGATCCCATTGCACAACATTGCACACGACAACACTGCGTTGGACCTAACCTTCGGAGAACGATTTTCTGAAATTAGAAAATTTGTTTCAAGAAATTTGTTTGGGGGAAGAGTTGCTGAGGGAATAGAAAAACGTCCACTCAAAGTGTGTTCCAGGTACTCTCCGTGATATACACGCTCGACTCCACTTTCAGAAATCGATTTTTGAAACTTCGCGAGCCTAAACGAGAACCTAAATCGCGACATTCACGAAATTAAACAATGCGGGCTTTGATCGCGTGCTTTGTAAACACAGCAGAAAAATATTAATATGGCTCGAACTTTCTTTTCATTGACGCCCAACTGAATAATCACGACCGGGAATGGCACGTGGAAGGGGAAGCGTTCCCCGTGGCCCCGCAAGTTGCATTCTACACCTCGTGTTCTGCACAATGCTATTAAAGAGTTAAATCAGAAGCATAAATATGTATATGTGTGTGCACGAATGTAAACAATCTCCTGGCTACTCACGTAACCTTTGTTTATGTTTTTCCGATTGTAGTGTTATTGTACGATTCTTATTTAAAAAACAGAGTGAATAATAAACGAAGAATAATAAATAACACGAATAACGAATAAAACAAATAATAAATGATTATACACCCCAGAGAATAACGAATAATAGAGATAATGAATTAAATTTTTCCTAAATAACAAACAAAATTTATTCGTATAATATCCAATTCTGATTTTTAAATAACAAATAAATAAATATAATATAAATATATATGTAATTGTAAATATATATGTTCTGCACAGAAAGTCATTATATTTATGACAAATTATTTATTATTTAATATTTCAAATAAAATTTGTTTAAGTGTGATAAACGCGATCAAATTTTTTTTAGTACTTTGTTATTTTACATAGACAAGATAAATCTGTGTAAATCGTAACATTTATTTCTTTTGTTTCACGATTTAGTTGCGCCGCGGAAATGTATTTCTCATCATAGTCTTTTCTCGAGAGAAAGAGTTTTGTTACTAACGGGGGGGG